TCCAGCCCTGGGCACGACACGCAGTGAATTAATCTTAGAGGGTGCATTAAAAAATAAATGGCCACGCCAGCGGTGCACATCGCAAATCAGCTCACATAGACACATTAATTGTGCCGCTTCTTAATGACGGTATCTTAGCTAACAAACCTAACAATCAGATTCAACTTGTAATTGGGTTAAAATAACTTAGCCTACTGGTGAGAGGGACGTTGTGTCATGGTCCTGGGCCATGTTGGCCCAGTATTCTTAGTTTTCTTGTATGTTTGTATTTTGTTCCCTATTTAGGCCATGTCTCCTGAGTTGCCCTGTTGTGTTGTTCCCTAAGTGTTTTCCCTTTGTGGCTTTTACCCCTGTGTGCCCCTCTGTGTATCTGTGAGCCCTCGTCTCTCCTTATGTTTTACTTCCTGTTTGACTCTGCCCGTCTCCCGTCAGTGTTGTGTTCACTCCTGCCATGTCTCGTTATGATTATCAGTGTCACCTGTGTTCCCGATGTGCTCCCACTTCCCTCGTTAACCCTCTGTGTATTTATGTCTGCGGCTCCCTCAGTTCGGTGTCGTAGTCTCCCTCATGCTGTGTGTGATTCTCCCCGTGGTTCCTGGTATACTTTATGTTTAGCTTTCCCAGTTTAGTTTAGTACTGTCTTTGTGTTTCACTTTTTGCCAGCATTAAAGCTGTGTTTTTGAGTTTACGTTCTGTCTCCGTGAGTTTGCGTTTGGGTCCTCTCCTGCCTGCCACACAGCCGAACCATGACACGTTGTTAGCTTTCCACATTCCGACACTTCAAAAGCTTCAGGAGCTGTTCGCTCAGCACAGCATCAGCACCGCGGAAATACACGGATACATCCGTAGACTCGAGACAGAATTCACAATGCGTTTTTGGGACTTTCAGGTGTTTGGACCAATGTTTTATTTTCTGATCAAATCAGAAATCTTTAATGAGCAGCTGGATTTGTCTTGCATTAACTGGCTGAGTTAATGTCAGTTAATGCGACATCGAAGCAGCTGGAATCCACAGCTGTGCGTGTTCATGGAGCTGCATTTTCACCTGCTGGACATCACTACCTGACAAGTTTAACTGTCTTCAGAACATTGCAGAGGCCTTATCGAAAGTATTTAGCTCTACATATCTGTGTGAGCAGATTTTCTCTCACATGAGTCCTCAGGTAGCCGTCTGAATGCTGGACACTGAGAGACCTGTGTCTCTGAGTGGGAGACCAGAGATCACATTAACCACATTTAGTGTATTATCATCTTTAAATTGTTGTCCTTACCAAATATACTTAGACGGCGATGGATTCAATCCATGCTACTGAACACGATGCCAGTCAGGCTTGAAAATGGTGTTTTTCAAGCCTGACTGGCATCTATAAAAACCCAGGCGAGGTCTCCTTCATGTTTTTCTGTGTTTTATCCTCAGTTACTTTGACACAAAGTGTCAGCTTTGTTTTTATACATAGATATAAAAATATGAACATGTACTGATAAATGATTAGAATTATAATATTTCTGACTGTCTGAGTCAAAAGTGAATTGAATTTAATCGGGACCTTGTGAATCGGAATCAAATCGATTATAGGAATCAAAATTGATCCCCAGCCCTAAGTGAGCCCTTTACAGATGAAGTTAAGAAAAATACATCAATACAAAAATTCACACAATTTTTTAAAAACAATTAATTGCATGAATATAGTAAATGTTCCTCTCAGTGATTGAACTATCTCATTGTGTTCTATTGATTGATTGATTGATTGATTGATAATACTTTATTCATCCCGAGGGAAATTGGGTTAAGGCTGCCAGCCGTGCCAGTGCCATCTTACCCTTCCGACCATACATACATTACACAAACATCACATGGGGAAGACAGGTCGGAGGGGTATAACAATGGAAAATGCACAACATGAACATTGAAGCCTTGTTCTCATTTTTATAGATTAAGGCAAGAGTAAGGTATTAACCCTCATGCTCCCCGTTGGGGCAGCTCCGGACCCCGGGGGTCCCAGAGTACCCCTGGGTAGCATTTCACAGGCCGCGCATCAGGGTTGGCTCCCGCGCCCCATACACCCATGTTTCCCTCCCTGAATGCCACTCCCGTTTCAATTTTTCTCCTAGTTTCAGGCAGGCTCTGTCATGTTCGTCCATGGGAGGCCGCTGTTAAGGTATTTGTCACACAGATATAATATAAGCTCAGCATTTAGCTTATATTATCATTTATCGGGTCTTAACCATAGGGTGCTTAGTTTATGTAAAAATGTAGTTTGCAGTTGTTTTGGTTTAAATTGTTTTATGTGTGTATTGTATGAGTGTACACTTGTATATAGTTAAACATTTATGCTGTTTGGTCTCTCTAATGTAGAGGCCTGGGCATTCCTCGCTACAATGTACAGCATACACTACATTGTTAAGTTTGTGTTTAGGAGTTTTGTCTTTTGGACAAAGTAAGAAGGGGAAGTGAGAAGGGGGACTCAAGTGCAGACATGGAAGGAGACGGACCTGAGTTTAGACAAAAGGAGCACCGTTTATTATGGCTGATTAAACATGAAATACAAAAAAAGGCAAAGCGAGGGAAAAGCTAAACTGAAACCTAGACTGAGAAAACTAACTATTAAAAAAGTGACATGAACAGAATCATGAAATCTTTAACCTGACGTCACATGGGAGGAAGGAACACAGACGACATGACAAAGACTGAATTAAAAAACAGACTAAATACACACAGGAGGTGATCAGAGGAGGTGGAAATACACATATGGGGAAGCAGCTGACTGGAATGAACATAATGACACCACAGGACAAAAGTAAAAATAAGCATATACATTGAACATGGAAACACAAGACTGTCAAAATAAAAAACCAAACATGGAGAGACGTAGACATGATAACACAGGTTTGACGATATGAAACACGCAGACAAGAAATACATGACAAACTAACAAAGAAGACCTAGGTGAAACATAACCTAGACTAAAACTCAAGGCAAACTATTAATAACCCTAGAACTCAACATTATCTCAAAATATAACAAAAGAAATTAAAAACATAAACTGAAAATGCTGGGTCACAGACCCAGCCACTGACAATAAAACAAGATTTTGGCATTAGATGGTTTTAACTCTAAATTTTATCAGTTAATCAAAGTAAAAATCTGTCTGGCCATATTGCATTACATTAGAATTGTATTCTACAAATTAATAAATATCAGTTGATTCTTAAGGAGTCAAGTTGGAACTGTTCAGATCTGATTGGTTTAACGTGGATTGATATCTACAGTTTTAGTCATAAACTCGGTAAACCATAATTGTTTTCCTGTCAAGGGCTAAACAAGCATGCAGTAACATGATTATGCTTTTAATACTGGCACTCAAGGTATGCAAGAATATATGTTCAGATACAAATTTGCTGTTTAATATACATTAAAATAATAAGAAATTATAACTGAGATAATTATAAAACATGCATATATGTAAATGACTGACTTTAGGCAGAAAACTGTGCTCAAATATGGAAAAGCTTACAATGCATAGGGAAACCATCCTCTAAGTTGCTCTTACGAGAGATTAATTCCTTACCACAAATGTTTTACTCCATGTATTTCATCAATAATACTTCAAACATAACATTAATGTTCACACTTGCTCAGCTGTCTTTTCTGCTGTGCTGTTCTATAAATAAACATCATGATTTAAAACAGAAATAATCATGTTGTCACTGTATCACAATATGAATTATACCAACCCACACAGATTCTTATGGAGGTGTTGCTACTAGCTATTAGTGCTGCGTGTTTCACTGCTCATCTTAGTAGCCGAGGTTTTAGCCTTTCTCAGTGACATCACAAACCAAAGGAAGATGAAGAAACCTGCAGTCACAAAGTCAGAGAGAGAGAGAGAGAGAGAGAGAGAGATGTGCAGGTTTAGATGGGAAAAGGATGAGTTCATGAAATTGGCTCTAAGAATGCATCTGTGTCAAATCTCTGTCAAGTCACTGTGTATCCATATCCAACACAAAATCTTACCTATCTTTTAGTCAACATAAACAGATTTTTAACAAGAATCTTAAATAGTTCATTGGTCCTCATTAGGCAGAAGAGAGAGTTCATGTCTCCCCTATAATGGAAAGTAATGTCACATTTACAGTCTATTATTACATGGCAAACGTTTAATAATAATGTGGATTTTATTGATTCCCATGGGGAAAGCACTCTCTCTCCATTTGACCCATACCTTGCCCAGAGGTATGGGTCAAATGCATACCTCTGGGCAAGCATACCTCAGTGGATTCGAACCCCCACCCTTCCGATCATGGGGGCGGCCACTCTACCTACTGAGCTATGTGCGCCCTAAACTTAATAAGTCTTATACTATTACTTCCCCTTAAATGGTATCTATAAGGAAAATGCATTTGTGTATTAAGCAGCAGAGTTGAGTATGTGTGTCCACCCATAAAAAAACTTGTCAATACCAACAAAGTGGGCGTCCAAAGAAGACGAAACCACAAAAAGACTGTGTCCTCATTCTGTCAGCACTTGGGAACTGCAGACAGACTTTCAAGTCAAAGTTTGCAGGACAATATGGTGTGGAGATATAGAAATTCTTTTATTCCTGCCATATAATCTGCATCATTATACCTGCATTAATATCATTCTTTACAGCATTGTTCCATTTAATAATATTTCGTACAGTATTGGGATTGCATTAAAGTTGCTTATTGAAGATCTTCATTTAAGGATCTCGTAACATTCTGGTGGAGATGCCGGGGTAAAAAGAGTGAGCTCGGACGAGGAAGTCCGAGAAAGAGGACACCTTGAGTTGAGCAAGGTGTTTAACTGACTCAGGATTTCAGAGAATCGAATCAGCTGTGATCTTGAGTTCTAATGGTAAATTGATTTTAAAGGAAAATCAATGTTTACTATGATGAAGTAATTCTGAAGATATTACTAGATGTGCTGTGATACCAGTGAAGATTAAGTTGTGTACATGAGGATACACAATTGTGTCGATATTGCTGGATCGGCTGCGGTCCATTTGATAAGTGAATGCTGACAAGAAACTGTTTTAAATCCTCACTGGCAGCGGTGAGATACATGTGCTGAAGATTACTGGACCCGGCGAGGTCCATTTGATGAAGTTCTTGGGCAGATAAATGACAAACAGTTCTTCAAGTGTGTGGAGAATTTAAAAAAGAAAAAACTGAACTTGCAGGTTCTCCGTACTGTGTGGACTTATATCAGAGTTATAAGTCCAAAGGTTATGCCCTGGAGGCCAAGAGTTGTGTATAGAGAAGAACATGACTTAGAAAAGGACATTTAAGGTCACATTTTGTCTAAGATGGGGAGAATTGTCCCATATGTGTTTATTTCGCTTCTCTTTTAAGAGGACAGACGCAGTTACTGAGTGCTGTCTACTTCCTCTTTCTGATTCTTGAAAGCATGTTTGATAAAATACTCTTAGGAAAGCATATTTTGAGTGATTCTAAGTGTGTGAATGCTGTGAGTACTCGATTTGAATGATTCTGTGTGATTTGTACAAAATAATAAATAACTAATAATAACTCATAGGCGAGTGTGTGAACAGAGGAAGTCTGAGAGAGAAGTGTGTGCGTAGGCAAACTGCAGAGTGTGTGCGTGAAAGAGGGGGTATTGTTTTTACATCAAGATTTAGTAGAACTAAAGTAGAACGTCACAAACAAACAGATAAAAAAGTAAAATAAAGAGAGAAAATAACTGACAATTACATTAATGAATAGAAAACACACATACACAAAGTGCCATATGTGAAATTATTTTAGGAATGAATCAGAAGTGAGATAGTTGAATCCACAGCTCAGTGAAAAGATGCATGAATTAAACCTGATTATAATATAAGATGCAATGAAGGAAGCAGCTTACACTCCTTTAATTTCCAGAGCCAGTGTGTCCCCTCCCCTCACAGCACCCCTGCCCACCTGACCCCCGTATCAGGCGAGTATGGAAGGCTGGATAGCCCATGACGGGTAAGATCCCACCTCGAAACCCTGGGACAACCTAAGGCAGGCACAGTCTCGATTACTTGGCCTCAGTCCCTGTGAGCTCAGACTCACTGGTGAGATGAAGTGAAGAAGACGGGACTTCAAGGGTAAAGCCGCTGGGCTGAGGCGGAGGGGGAAATGTCATTAACAATGACCAGTGATGAGCCAAAGACAGAAAACACTCCCTCTCTTTCTGGTTGAATTGTTCACAGCACCATGTCTCCATAAACCTGACAAGTGGGCCCTAACTTCTGGCTGAGGACCAGGAATGCTGTTATTTAAGGTGGGAAATCAAAATTTGGGTTAGCAAATTTGGGAAGGAGAAAATTGACTGTTTAAAGGGAAAATTGTGAAGGAGTCTGAAACACTGCAAAGCAACACATGCAAAATCACACACACACAAACAGAAAATACATTAACCTTACAAAGACAAGACAAGCTCATGATGATTAATGCATAGACATTGATTAAACCTGGCTTAGAACACGAACATACGCAATGAAGATCAGCTTGCTACTAGTATGAGTGACAGACTGGTGTGAATGTTTAATAAAATACACTTGAGTTTGAAGCTGAGGAATAGCTCAAAGAAGCTATATGACAAGGGAGTTATGGAAAAAAGAAACAGTGATTAAAGTAGTTTTAAAAGAGTGACTTAGGAGTGCTCTCGTACTGAGTGATCAAAACCAGTGATCACTGTAGAAAGAAATAAAATAATTTAATAAGGTGGTAATGTTTGAACATGTATTTCTCTTTTCACGGCAACTTCTTGAGAGACGACTTGGTATGCAAAGTAGATGAATGACTCGGGACAGGAAAAGAAAAAGAGGAACTTGGGTTTCCTGTCTGACTGTGTGAGTGAAGCTTGCACTGGAGGAGACACTGTGACTGTGTGGCGTTTAACAAGACTTTCTGTGTATTTAGCAGGTTAAATTATGTCAGTTGACTTCAGAGTGCCAGGACCTTGAAGAACTTGTGGCAAAATGTTCTGTGTTTAAGATTTTTGAGGTTGTTGTTGTAGTGATGGATTGATTCGGTCAGTTTGTCTGAGAGGGGCCCATGATTTTTGTAACAGTGCACTTAGAGAAAACCTGTCAGGTGATTTTGTTTTGTGCTTTGATGAGCTAATAATCAGCTCTCTTTTTCTCATTTTTGTTCTAAGCAGGCCTGCAACAGTGAATAACAGCGCTGAAAATTCTCGGGAGAACAAACATAAGGTGGGCTTTCCAGATTACAACTGGCTGAGGAGAAAGCTACCTGTGGGGACCGGATTAGGTCTAAGTCCCCGTCTAAAAGGATTGTAGCGATTCAATCCAGTCAAAAGCATAAAAAACTAGTTTCCTAAAAAAAACAAAAAAAACAAACAAAACAGAATAAAACAAATGAATGAGCTCATGTTGCTGAGAGTGCAGAATCTGATTATTTGCGCGGGGGTCGCCACTATTAGCAATACCTGGTGTGAATACGTATGAATGGATCCGTGTTTGGACGGTGGAAAGGTTTGGCTATGTCAGCAATGGTTTCATTCGCTACACTTTTAGGGATACTGGTCACCTGTGGTTGTTGTGTCATTCCTTGTGTCAGAGGATTCTTGGTAAAACGATGGCTAGGGTTGCGGACCCTGGACGGGTGGATTCAATCTACCTGAGGAACTTAGATGCCATAGAGTGGGCTGAGGAGTGATACAACACGAGGTGTGGTGACATTCCTTTTTTGGAATGTCAAAAGAGGGAATGTGGAGATATAGAAATTATTTTATTCCTGCCATACAATCTGCATCATTATACCTGCATTAATATCATTCTTTACAGCATTGTTCCATTTAATAATATTTCGTATAGTATTGGGATTGCATTAAAGTTGCTTATTGAAGATCTTCATTTAAGGATCCTTTTATTATGTTTACTTTTATTACAAGTACGGTTGGAAGTATTTTATACACATTGCATATCTGTGCTTATTTTGAGTTGATGTTCGGTTCATTAAGGGTCTTAAGCTTCACTGGCGTGACTGTCCAGGTGATACATGCTGAGGGAAACTAGAACATAGAAGGATAACTGCAATGCATGCTTACAGTACACATAATACACACACTCTAGGAATGTATCCGGCCTGAGGCCTGAATTCATTTGGTGTCTTAATATATTTTATTCTACTTGGTAACAGACGATCAGAGTCAATAATTTGCCTCAGAGACCCTGAGGGCTTGAAGTTTATTACCTTGTATGGAAGGTGTTATAGAAAGGAGAAGTTCTATGTCTGCTTATAGCTATTAAAGATGTACGGTTAACTGTGACTAATGTCTGGAACCTATTTTAATCTGTCATTGACGCCATGGGGGGGGGTGTACCATGTAACATGTATTTTGGTCAGAAGACATATGTTGATGTTCTCTCCGGGCTGTTTATAAACTCATCGTTTGATTGCACTTTTCTGGGGCCTCCGTGGTTTGTGACACTGCTCTACATTGATTGATTTCGCGACAATGGCTGACAACTCTGTCCTCAGACAATCCTGAATGGGCTGCAAGCCGCCTATCCCAGACTCACGGGGCTTAACATGACTGAACTTCACAGTCCGGCCTGTTTAAGCTGGTGTCAGCAACATCTGCACTAGAACCTGAACATGTAGAGGAATGTTATGTTCAGCAATGTGTCCTGAATCTGCCTAAGGCATGGAGTGAAAGTGTGGAGCAAACACAGAGAATGATGTGCTGATTGCTGCACCATGGGTGACAACGTTTGGTGGAATCAGTGTGATGTTGTGAGGCAGCAGCTCCCTTACTAGAAAAGCAAGTCTTGTCATTAGTTTCATCCATGTCAAGGAACAGAGATATTGACATTGAGATTCTGCAACCAGTGGCAGTCCCATATCTCCACAGTCTGGGCCAGAACTCTATCCTCCAAGATAGCAACATGCACTTCCACAAAGCGAGATTTAGCACATATGACTGAGAACTAGGGATGGGTACCGGTATCCGGTGCCATGATGGCACCGGTTCTGACATAAACG